GTCCATATGAATGTAGTCAATAGGCCTGAAAACGCTGTGAAACTATGCCAGACCTGTTGGTGGCGCTGTGACGCAATGACGGGATCAAGCCCAAACTTCCGTGGGCATGCGCGGAATTTTGTAAACAGACAACATGGCGAGTGGGCGAGCTGGTACTACATTAGTATGGACGGACGATGAGGTTGAACTGTTGCTTCGGGTCACACTGGATTACAAAACCAACAAGCTACATTGTTGTTGTCATTATTTTCTGAGTGCGGCGCATGCGTGCTTTAACAAGAGGCGGGGCGATGACGCAAGCGTCTCAGATACATTGCGGAGAGGCAGTAACCACGGAGCGGCATATACGGAGTTTTGAAATCTTTCCACTCTGGGACCTAGTTTCAAAAATGTTCGTTTACACCTCCCCAAAACGCCGGCCTCTTATGGACGATACACTGGATTGATAAAGTATTTTTGCGTTTAGGCCTGAGCTTGACTTCGTGTGGACAGGGCCTAAGACATGCATTATTTGTGGTATTTTTTTTTTACTTAATTGTGCTATTGAGAAAATGTAATTTGCTCTTCCGATCCATCCATTTTAATCTGGTGCCTCCATTGCCCTGCTCATCTGGGGAAACCCCAGGCAAGCTACCCACAGCAGGACACGTGTTTTATGACCTGTGTTGAAATGCGGAGTTGACTCGGGACAACTGTGGGAAAGCTGTATGTGTTGTTTGGCCCCTCATTGCTCTTCACCCACGGGGGAAGACAGGGAACGTGATATAAACATTTGCAAACACGTATGTTACATGGGCAACTTAATAAAGAGCTCATGGTTGTTGTTACGCTGGCATTAGGGATGCACCGATACTGATGCTAGTATTGGGTATTGGGTCGACACCACAGGCTTGTACTCGTACTCATACCAAATCTTCAATTTACATTAGCATCACAACAGCAGACAGCTGTGTTGCCATGGTGATCTCCCAAAGTCGGCAGTGAGAAGGTTTTTGCAGTTTTTGCTCAGTGGGAACGAGACTAAAGTCCCTTCAGCATGGGACTCCCACTGGGGTCGACTCCCAGTGGGACATGCCCAGAGCATCAGTGTCTGTGGGTTCAAAAACAGAGATTTCAGGTGGAAGACGCGTGGTGTGCCAATTTGATCCAGAAGTTTCTCATATGAAGGTAGATTGAGGAAAATCTATGGAGAAAACAAGTTTGCATAAGATGTCTCCTTTAAGACACCCTGCACACTTTCTGAGTTTGTTCTTTTTGTTTTGCTTATCCCTCCTCCCCACATCCTCACACGTCATGAGACAATTTTGACTTGTCCTTGGCTCAAAGGCAGAACTACTTGAAATGCTTGTAGATTTGGTGCGCCCACATCAAAGCCAACCGGGGCTTATTTTCGAGTATTTTGCACCCGGAGGCTACAAGCTACTTCTGAGGTTGATGTATTCCCAGTAAATAGCTTGGTTTTCTGTTTTGTAGATCCCAGCAAAGCATCATCTAACGGGATTTGAGGTTTTTTGGGCCTCAGCGCTCTCCACTAGAGGTCTAGCAGTAATCGCAGTTTATAATAGTTGTGCCGATTGCTTTCCAAAGGTGTTGCACAGTCCACCCCTGAGTGCATCCAGGTATCACAGCAGGCTCACAGGGTTGACTTTGAAACATCAAACTGCTCTTCTGGGCGTTTGATGGCCTGCCGTGTGATGCATCGCACCATTTACACGCTGCTGCCTGCTTTCATCCATCGCCTGTCTTGGGAAAAAAACATCTGCAAGAATGTTCTCCATAGGATGCAAGTAAACATATAGGGATCAAGCTCATGTGTTTGCCATGTGATGAGGGATAACACCGTTTGGTATTAAAAGGCTTTGTTCGTATCACACGCTCCAAAGATATAATGATTTCCTATAATGAACTGGAGGAAAAAAAACATGAGATCACTAATCCATGCTTACAAGTATATAATAATGTGCTAGCTCAAAAACAACAGCAGCTTTTGAAACAATACATTGCAATGTCTGATGATTCATCCAACAGGAAATCTAACAACATATAGATTAAGGCTTTAAAGGAGACATATTACAACTTAACATTGTTCCCTCATCAAAATCTACTGGCACAAAAAAACTGTAACCCCACCCCTTCTGTCTAATGCCTCATTCCTGTAACAGTATGAGGTAATTACACATCACAATGCTTATATTTATAGATCTAAGTCCTAGATCTATAGCCTGCCCGTCCGACCAATGGCTCCAACGTTTTTATTATTAATGCATTTACTTTGTTTGATTCTCTGATCTGTTCCTGGCAAATTGACAACTTTGTAAAGTCTTTTGAGAAGACTGCTGTTCCGATTTAGGGCTATAAAAAATGAGTTGAAATGAATTGAACAGTCCAAGTTTATGGGAAGAACATCTATGCACCATCTGGGCGGGATAACTGTTAGTACTTACTTACATTGTGTGTGATGTTTATTTAAATAGCGCATTTTACAGACCAACGTCGCCCAAAACGCTTAACAATGTTCAGAGTTCAGATATTGTTCCAACACCATCCATTCACTCTCTCATTTACATTCAGACCTATTGTATGAGTAGGTACTGTATGAATGTAGGACTGGACCTTGTCCCTGAGCCCTTGTTCTGTTGCTCTCTCTTCCACACTTGCTGGTGGTGATGTACGTGGTTCTTTGTGTAATGCCTGCGCCTGCTCCGCGAGCCACAATGCTTCAGAGAGCACAGTATCCTTCATTCACCGCTGCATGCTGCGATTAGTCCTACGCCTTAAACCATATATTAAATGAATTTCAAATGTCTTTTAAAAAACATAAAACACCAAGGCTGACTTCAGGCTGACTTCAGGCTGACTTGCTGTAGGCCATTGCTAATCAGTTCACTCTATGCTCCATTTAGCCTCTGTGTCATTAACGATAATACAAATAAAATAAGTGTTAGGCAGTTTGGATTTTTCCGTGAATCCTCTCCTCACCAACTGTCAATAATTCCTACTGATTTTTCCCCCGGTTTCCCACGCTCGCAGTGCATTTGTGCTGAACAAATTCCAGTTAATTACAAGGCAAATGGTACAAAATGTGCTCTGTGACCATTATAATCCTGTTTGCCATGCTCAGCAAGGATGCATCACTCTTCACACCCACACAAACACTCGCTTTCTCCGCAATGAAAATAATGATACAAAGAGTCCACTTACACCAAACTACACTATCTTCTGGCCACACACCAAGCCTCTGTTAGAATGAAGCAGGACTTGTCAAAATGTGAATGAAAACACTTTTCACTGATGGGCAGCTTCCAATGATCCTGTGCAAGGGAAGCATCTCTTTAATCTAAAATCAGAGTTGTTTGATCGCCCACACATGTGCTGTGGGTGATCATTGTTTACTTTAACAGGTTCACAGATACTATTATTATGAACTCATTTCTTAATTAGTTCATACTCTTCTTATTTTACACTATTGCTGCCCTCATGGCATTGCAGGATGGGTTGTATTTCAGTGTGAAAAAAAAGGTATCAAAATTATAAACATTTTTTATAGATCCTCTGTATATAACCGAAAAAAAAGCCTAAAACCTAAAGAAATAACAATTTTTGAACATTAATTTGAAATCGTACTGCCGCATTTTCCCAAAACGCTGCAGCCCTATACAGTCTACGTAATGTATTAACACAGATGTCGAATTTCCACACTTTGCTCTACCCTCCTTTGACTTTGACCAATATTGTGAAATAGTGGTAGTATTCCGGCAATGGGAGCTTTAATGAAAGGTTCTGCGTGGAGGCATAGACGCTTGGTTGGTCTAATGAGATCCCTAACTGTTTGTGCCATCTGCCCGACCCAAGTCACGACATTAACTATGCATTCAGACCTCTCTGTGATGAAGAAACCCTGGTGTACACGCTGCCAAGTGCTGATGCGCAAACAAACGGATATGCACTTCACCAAATCCCAAACATGAATTCAGCACTCTCAAATGTAACGGCTTTTGGGATGTTGCGACGACGCATCATTCTCCAGAATGATGTTTGCACTATAGGGCTAAATTGTGCATTATTATGTTGAAAACTGACAATACAAACGCAGTTGTGCTTGAAAATGTACATATCCTGGCATACATTTCATTTTTTTTCATTTTATTTTGGCCATGTTTCAACAATTTATCAATTATTTTAATAAATTCAGTCATTGTTTGTGGTTGTGTGAAGCCATTAACATCAAATAAACAATTGTCTATGTTCAAATCATAATGAGAGACACTTACTCTTTTCCCAGTTTTTAATAGTGTGTATTTCTCCTCTACGCCAGCTGGGAATCTTTTGTGGTAACTTTTAAATAATCCACACCTATAGTAATAATACTTAAGCAACTCTCAAAAACAAAAACAAGCCGAGGATTCGCAAAAGATGGGTAGAAATCCATAGTATGGTTATTTTATCTGTATAGTTAGTTTTATATGTAGTTAGTTAATTTATATCCTCTTCTTGGTGCAGAATCTGTGTCAATATGGTATGTAACTTTTCCTCATAGGGGAATAAAATCGACAATTGCCAATTTAAGATGCGGTCAGAGTGGAGCCTGTAAAGTTACAACATTTACGCTGCTCTATAAAGGGGACAAGTGTAGAGAAATAAAGAAGAACATATGTTTTAGATCAAAATTGATATTTGTTAAATACAAAATATAGCATGGGTTCTTATAAATTACATTGTTGAACTACTGTTACCGTATTGTACATGTTTTTGGCAAGCTCTAGCTTCAAGTTTGCACCGGTACAGCCAAGTGTCCTCTGTTTGAAGTAATGCCTTTTTGATTTGCCGTAGCTTTTAAGCAGTATTGATGTGTCCGGGAGAAGGCCACGCTCAAGTCAAACTCATCTGCAGTTTTCCAGGGCACCATTGTTCGGCCGGCCGGGGAGAGGTCACCGCCGCAGCCGAGAATAAATGTGCAGTGATTGACTAGTCTCTGTTGGAGAAATGAGTTCTCCATTCATTCACAGGCTTCCAGAGGTGAAGCGTCCTTCAGAAAAGTAAACACAATCTGACAGGACTCGGCGGCAGACCCAAAGACACAGCATGGAGCGGGCCGCGAGGAACAGGCTTCTCCCCAATGCACTCTGCAACCTGCCGTCCGTCCCTCTTCCAGACCTTAGCAAAGGCAGGAGGGCAGGCGGACATAAAACCATTCCATTTAACTCAATCGGGTTGGATGTGAAAGAAGTTTGACCGACATGAGAACATTACGAAACCACTCTGTGAGATTGTCCACCAGGCAAATGTTATTTTTGTTCTTGAACATGAATTTAGCTGGTGATAGTTTAGAATGTGAAATCATGTGTTAAATTTGGTGTGAGTAATTCATTTTTTTTTACTATTGGACCCTATCATCATGTTAATTAAAGCTTGGGTTTGTAACTGTTGTTTCCACCATCTATCAGAGAGCACCACCACTGTGCTGCGCTCTGATTGGTTACCAAAAAGTTAAGCAATGTCCATCTCGTGTATTGTCGTGATGACTCAATGCACATGCCGCACGCACCTCAAAAACATGCTGTTCATGTTCATTGGCCTTTGAGCCAGAGGGTCGTGGGTTCGAGCCCGACTTTCACCATCGACTCCCACTGTCTGCTGTCGTTGTGTCCTTGGGCAAGACACTTAACCTCTGGGAACACCAGCCACAGTGGGGCGGTTGCGGCTGCCGTTGTGTCCTTAGGCAAGACACTTCACCCCCATTGCCTAGAATGAGTCTGGTGTGTGTGTGAATGGTTGGTGGTGGTGGGAGGGGCTGATGGCACAGACTGGTTGCCTCGCTTCTGTCAGTGTGCCCCAGGGCAGCTGTGGCTACAGTAGTAGTTTATCACCACCGTGTTTGGAGTGAATGAATAATGAGATGTAAAGCGTTGAGTTTCCAAAAAAGCGCTACATAAAACCGATGGATTATTATTATTCTTATTATTATGCCCGCCAGAGAAACGCGCCTGCCACACAATGTGCGGCACCGTTGACATGGCAACAGGACTTAAAAGCCTCTGTCTTTATGTCCGACTATGACGTCATGTTCAGATCAGTTTTCTACCTTTTTAAAATAGTTTTGACAATTACTCAAGTGAACTGACTTTCTTTACAATCACATGGCTGCGTTTGGAATTTGTAGGCAAAACAAAACAAAACTATCCATCCATCCATCCATTTTCTTCCCCTTAATCCATTTCTGGGTCGGGGGTGGCAGTCAGAGCTGCACCCAGTACACATGGCACCAGCCCCTCACTGATCACGGTGGTGAGTCCACAGGAGCTGAGATCTTTCAGTGGGGGCTTTAGGCAAAGTGGGGTTAAATGTCTTGCCCAAGGACACAACAACAGCAGACATCAGCGGGAATTGTGAAGTAGGTCTCATGGTGGGCTCGAACCCACAACCTTCAGGCTCAAAGGCTCGATACTCTACCAACTGAGCTACTGTCGCCAAAACAAAACAGTCCCCTCCCTTTTCTACTATTTTCCACTAAATATATCATTTCACCTTCTAAAACATGAAATGACAAACTGAAATAGTCCTGTTATCATTTTTAATAGCCATATATTTCTGCTGTAATAACATGTGATATTCTATGTTCTAACCCGGCTCCAATCCGCCTACACTGTGAGTGGATCCATATGCACACGTGTTGCATGTGCGTATCGTCCGAGGTGCTGCTAAATCCTCCCCTGTGAAAAGCAAATAGAATCCCCGCGCTCACCAGAGAGACAGCTTAGCCCTCCTCCTGGTTTGTTTAAATTGCAGTAATCTGGCACACAGATCACATGTGCAGCTAATTGATGGATTTGCCGGAGGATCTGAGAGCTGTTCATCTCCTGTGTGTTTATTTTCAGAAGGCAGATGCTGAAACCCTTCCCGCGCTGATGCCTGCAGAAACAAAACGCTGGTGCTTCCTAAGGCCAAAACTCAATGTCATCAGCTGGGACACGGCCATCAAAGGCTACATACGACACAGACGGAAAATAATTAGAGAAATGTTGTGTTGGCGATAACAGTTCAAATACAAAATGTTTACTGCAAGAATACATTTTGATTGAACAATTCTCAGTGTTGCTCAAGCCCAATTTCATCCATGTTTTTAGCTCGTCCCAACAAACAAAATATTGTTAAGTGACATGTTTCAATGGACAGTCACTCATAATAATACGTCACTTATCATAATCTTACAACATTTGTGTTTTATTGTAGTAACAGTTTCTCCGCACACTTTATAGTTTATTTCAATAAGCCAAGGAAACGATACCATAGTTGTTTTCTATGTGTTTTTTGTCTGAACAGTATAAAATATGTAGGCCAATAATATGGATGCATGTAGGGCTCTGCCTTGGACAGAAGAGGAAGCCAAAAGCACAGAATAAGTCTGGACAAAAGTATCCAGTAGACATTCTTGCACATGTGGGCTGTTTTGCATGTGATTGGAGTCAAATCTATGGGCATGGCATGTGTGTTTGGGTATGGGCTGTATTGTGGTTGAGGCGGGCAATGATCTATTTTTTCCCATTACCCCTCTGCATACGTGTGGTTCATTTACATTCATGGTTATCCAGATAATGAAGCTTTCAATCCGGGGGATCCTGTGGTGAGAACAATGAACCCAATTACCTCCTGCCGCCTGTGAGATGGGATGGCAGACTCCGAGACAGATGGGAGAGGCTGCACTCGGCCCGCAATCCAATCACATTCATCTCGCTTGCTTCCCGGTCCCTGTTCATGTGTTCTGCAGCAACTTATCAACAGGCACAGGCCAAACAGCCCGGCATCATTACATCACACACTTATGATTGTGCAAACACACACCCGTGCTGTGGTGCCAGGTCCCAGGGGTCCACTCGACCCCCACCACACTCCCTCTGGCTCCAACACCATAGCTCTTGTTGATCAGAGGAGCTCACATACTTCATGTGCTAAAGGAGAAGGATGTGCTCAGTACACTGAACTTCAATCATGGTCTACTTATCGGCTACCAGTGTCCCACAACACTCCAATCAATTAGAAAAAGATCACCTCTTTTTCGAAGTGCAATAAATTCAAAGAACTCATCCAAAGTTCAGTATGACTTTTTCAATCAACTATTAGGCTAAATATAAGCATGTACCGCAACAAGCTAGTCAATATCTACATAAGTTTGAGACTTTGGACAGAAGAGTTGACATTCAACTCAAGCCAAGGCTGTGTATCTGGACTTAGACACTGCTGGAGGGAATGAATTCCACTATGAGATAATTATCCAGTGATTGCGTGAGTGCTGATACCACTTCTGCATAATACTCCAATATTTGCTGCATGTTTCATGCAAAAGAGAATTTATCTCATATTCTGACCCCTAATTTTACACTCAGATCAATAGTAATTGACTTAGTGGTCAATGTGGTTCTTGAAGTTTTTCATCACATGGTGCTGCCATCAGTCATACTGTTATGGGCCAGTATAATTTGTTAGTAGAATCTGCATGTTAATGCTATAGCACTCCCCAGCGTGACATATTGGTGTTTTATGTTAATGAATGTCAGGAGAAGAGCTCGGGGTGGACAGCACACACACCTGTCCACAGTGCACACTCACACAGCAGCCTTGGGATGCATTATTGATAAGCTACTAATTACGCTTGTTGCAATTTCAGCTGACCTTTCCTGGGAACATCCTGTATCATTACAAGCTGCATTTACTTGAAATTGCAAAGGTAATCTACACAGCCCCATGCATCCTGTTCCTAGTTTTACCCCCAGAATCCCTACCACTGCTAGCCTGGCTGCCAGTATAAGCCTGTGTCACGTGTCTTCATAATGTTAGTGAGATCTGTGTAGTGTGGAGCTGAGCGCCACAGTGGGGGCTCATTGAGAGAAAGGTTAAGACGACCACATAGAGCGAGTTTATGCTCTGTGTGCATCACTAACAATGCATACAAACTCTAACCAACAACAAACTCCCCAATTGTCGCTCACATTTACTCAAGCATTTGCACAACTAATGTTAGACTGTATCTGAAGCTATGCTCACCAACCTGTAGCTCACCAACCCCTTTCAAGAAGCTCCTTTGAAGATTTTACAAAATACACAGCAGCTAAATATTTCAATTTGATGATTCATTATTTGTAATACAGTTTAACAAAAAAATGTAGGGGTATCTATATTAATCCAAATAAAGTCCAAACTACAATCACATTGTGGTAATAATAAATCAACAGTTGCTTGAATTATACAGGGTGCTTGCTCTTTTTCCAATTTAAAATTCCAGACTTTTTTAAAACAGATATTTTTTTTTCCCAAGACCCATTTCTGTTGACCACTAGGCTAGCTATGTGTCAATAGACCTCAGCAGTGACATCACAAAAATGTGCCAGACTAGGCTAAGCAAGCGTTGATTGGATATCATTTCATTTGGCTAATACAGAACGTGACTAGTTAGAATAATTATAGTTTTATAGCCTACCTGTCATGGTGTGGATTTTATTTTTGTATTTTTGTTTTATTTTGACTTGACTTCTGTCCTGTTTTCCCCTGTCTTGATTGTCTGCCCCGCCCTGATGTGTTTCACCTGTGTCTGTGTCTATATGTACCCTGTGCTTCTCTCCCCTTGTGCTGGTTGCATTGTCTTGTCAATGTCTGTTCCTGTTTTGTTGCTGCTTGTGCCTTTTGGATTTTTGAGTTTTAACCTGGGCTTTTATTTTGTTATCATTAAATCATAATTTTTTGGCATTCCTGCATTTTGAGTCCTCATCCTTCCCAGCACGTGACACTACCTTCCTGTTTCTCATTTCACAACGCCTGTAAAATTTTACCATACATTTTTTTCTCCATACTTTATTAAGACTTTCACACAAAATTCAAGACTTTTCAAGGTCTGGAAAACAGTGTTTCAAAATTCCATACTTTGTAAGACTTTCAAAACTTGCGCAAACACCCTGATTATACATAATCTTATTATATTTTGACTTTCTTGAAACAAGATTTTCCAGTGGGAAAAAAAGCTTTAGTTTTAGCAACTTTTGTTCATGGTTTTGTCAAATTTGGACTAAAACAAGAAAAAAATCATACATGCTGAATACATACAGTCATTTGAAAATGCCTGGAGTGGGTTTTCAAATACTCTTTGTAGTGTATAGTGCCATTATGCTGACTTTCTTACAAGTTCCTAATGGAGTTTTCCACTGCCATTTTTGTCCCAACAAATGTAGCTCTCTTGATCTGTAACATAGGTATCAAAGAATTATGCTGTATAGAAATAATAGTTATAACAATGAAACACCCTATTTTGACTCTCAAAGACATTTTACAAAACACACATAGAAATCCTTGAGGGTGTTGGAGTTCCTGCAGCCTGAGACTGGCAGTACAGTTTGCATGGAGCTGAGGAGCCCAGGTGAGGTGAAGCAGGCAGGGGCGACACCTGCTGAAGGATTAATGGTGTCGGGGGAAGCCAAGGGAAGCCCCATGCTCCAGCTTGACATCTCTGTACCTGCGAGTGCACAGAAATTAGCCAGCCAATGTGGTGAGTAATGGCCGGGGCGCTTCCATCAGTCCCATTTAACAATGCATGCGGAGCAAAAAGCAGCTAGAGAGAAGAAAGTAAACGTTGTCTCCTGGGAATGTGCACGTGGCATAGAACCGTTTATCATATCATGGCGAATGCAGCACAAGCATTGCACAAACATCCATTTGATTCGAGGTTGCTCATAACTAAACTAACAGTGAGGTTGTGCAACAAGACAGGCATGAGAAATTAAATTAAAAAAATTAAAGCTGGGGCACATCACTTTTTTTTTCCATAAATCGTATATGATAAATAATCAGATCACAACATGCTTCCATCTTATTAGAAAACATATATATATTTTGCATACTTGTGAGTCACTTCTGATTGAGGGTTTGTCCGAAAAAGCCGACCTAAAGATGTGAGAGAAGCCAAAAACTTGAGAGGAAATGATATCAATTAAATTCTATTCATTTTGTTGGGATTTGAGCAACATTAGGATAAACGAATATTGATATTAGGCTATAAACAGTATAATGATATTACACACGGCAAACGCTTTTTGATTTGAAATGTGGTATACTGTAGGCATGCACTAGCTTTTACCATTTTCAAAATTAATGCACTGACAGGAGGAGTTTTGTACATTTAATCAGAGTAATGCGATTTTTGCTTCTGTTTTAAAGCAATATTTTGTTTTTCACACAAGCTAATGGCTGATAAATGAGGTCCTTTGTATCCAGCAGCAGATTTGTATGTATTCAATATGTGCATGAGAGGTTTTATCTGTGGTCTTTTGTGTATTAGTTTGTGTCCTTGCAGCGATGGGACTGTGCAATAACTATAACATATTCTCGTGTTGTAATTGTGCAGACGATTGTCCTGATGTTGAGAACGTCTTCTATGTTCGTGTCCAACAGCACTCAGCCTGTGACAAAGTTCACTGAGGAGAAACTAAAGTTGAACCTTGAACACACCCAGGTAGAAATGTCATTGTTTCACTTGTATTTTGGAGATTAAGAACAATAAGATCAGATAAGATAGACTTTATTGATCTCACACTGTACATGTCACAGTTGGCATAGACAGGATCACTCAGATTGTGCAAATGACGTAAACTTTTTGTTCAGTGTCAAATAAACAGCCACTCTGGGAATATCTCAAATAGGCAGTTCATGGTTACAAGGCAACCATGGAATTTTTGGGAACTGGAGTTTTTCTTTTCCAAGAAGAATGTGCAGTTTTACCATCAGAGAGGAGAAAGAATGTCATCCACAACCACCACAAAGTGTAGCAAATATATTGTATATATATAAAATCTATGACCGGAATGGTTGTGACCTACAAATGATATTTTTGCAAATGCGTTGAATCCATGTTGTTTTCTGTATTTCTCACAGCATACAGCGCAAATTCTAATCTCAAACTTTCTTCCCTATAACTTTGCTCTCTCCACATGTGGCTGATCCTTTGTTAGCCTGGGTGATGGGCACGGCGGCTAAGAATACTGACTTTTTCTTGTCAGGCTTTTGGGGATGGACGCTTGAGAGGTGGTGGTATACCTCCACAGCTCTTCCTGCTGTCTCCCGACTTTGGCCTATCCCGGCTCCCACTAATGACCACGCAGGCTCCCCGGGGACAACAGCTGCTGCCATCCCCCGCTCCTCCAAAGGCTTTGAAGGGGACATGGCAGCTCGGGCAGGGGCTGGCTGAGCTGCTGCCTATAGCAGGGACAGGACAGACAGGCGTGCGGTGCCAGCGTGGTGCCTAAGCCTGCTAAAACTCCAGCCAGCCAATTTACTTCCACCCCATGCCCAAGCTGGCCCTGTAATGGAGGAACAGGGGACTGCACGCTGCTCGGCCTTCTCTGCTTTTACAGGTAAACAGTGCGGGGAGTGTGCTGAGGCGCTAGTTTAAATCTGGGCTGACAAACTCATTTTGGTTGGGGGCCAAATAAAGAATATTAGAACTGGTCAGGGGCTGAAGGAATCTAATCAATCATTTAACATAGGTTTTTGATTTTCTTTTCTGGTAGATCTTCTCATATATATGTATATATATATATGTATATATATATCCATCCATCCATCCATTTTCTTCCCCTTAATCCATTTCTGGGTCGGGGGGGTGGCCAGAGATGCCACCCAGCACACAGAGCACCAGCCCCCTATATATATATATATATATATATGTGTGTATATATATACTGTATATATATATGTGTGTGTATGTTTATTATTGTATATTTTTGTAATATGTTGTCTTTATTTCAACAAAAGTTTGAATAAAGAATTACAACTACTTCTAACTAATTCCATGATAACCTGAATTGGCAAAGTCAGGCTTATATTGCGGTCTCGGAGTGTCTCCAGCTCTCACACAGCCCCTGGACAGGCTTACCCTTTTGACTATTTGCAAAGAGAGAAACCATCATATGAAAAGAGCAGTGAGCTGGCCGTGCTGGGAGGGGGGTGAAGGCTCATCCTAATCATTCCACTCACGTTCCTACAGTTCAGATAAGCAGGGCCTCCACAATGTCTGCGGCATGCATAAAAATATACTCCAACGTGGCTAATTTGTGCACTGTTTGCCGCACTTGCATCATTTAGACGCGCGAGCCTCGGATTCTCCACCAGAGATCCACCAGGTCGTGTGGGGGGATGGAGGTCAGAATAAATAAAGAAGTTGCAACCCAGGAGATATGCATTTTTAAATATCTTTTGTTTTCACGTCCATTGCTGAGCGCCAAACTGTCAAAGCACGTGCAATCATCCCTGGGGAGTAGTGTGCTCATGGTAAACACTAATTGTGAGTAATGCATTGGCCCGAACAATCAGCAAATAAGCAAATTTAATTAAGTCTCTTTTATGTATGTGGTTAAAGACATCAATATGTTTCTTATCTTTGTTTAAATTAATGTGGGATTAATTTATTTGTGCACTGTGTTCTCTCATAATCCCTCCGCCCCAGAAAAATCTCATGTTTGTGTGTGCACTTGTCCAGCTCTGACTCAATTCGATACCGCATTGTTTTTGTCGGGAATATGACAACTTCTGTGAATGCGTGAAAGGCTTTATCTCTGCTCACAGTTTACAGCTCGTGTGCAGTAGAATGAGCTCTCCGTTTATACTAAAATTTACTTTAATTTTGTCTTAGTCTGAAGCGACCGATTTTTTTAGAGAGAGAAATGTATAAAAGTCCATATGATGTTATTATAAAACATGTTGTCTATTGTATTCTTGAATAACCTTGTGAATAACTGTTTAACGCTTTAGGAAAATAGAGAGAGCTGAGAGCAAAATGGCAGAAAGAGGATGAATTGAACCGAACTGTTTTGAGTGTAAAGAATTAGTTAGATCGATTTTATTACATAGAAAACCTTTTGAGGTATGAAAGTTAAGAACACTTTATTGTGATACCAGTGTACTGTATTCATTTTCTTATATATAGAAATATTGGATGAATCTGTCAATAATGGGACGAGATTTGGAACTGATATTTGATTAACCAGCCAATAAGCCAACATTATAGAAAAGTGAAACACATGTATCGGGCTATTATGTATTTGGATTTTAATTAACAACAATCTGAAACATGCTGGTTTGATTGAATTTCTTATGACAATATTGGCAAGAACTAAAGCGGAAAAGCTTCTTTTGGTGTGTCATTGTTTATTATTATTGAAAAAAGTAACAAGTTTTGGGAAAGAAAGTTGCAGACCCTTATGCACAAAGCCACTGACAGGAAATTAAAAGAAATGTGCTCAAATTGAAAGCTCACTCCCTACTACGGCTGGCTCAAAGTATATATTAGGACTGCCTTAAATTGAATAAGAGAAGAATAAGGCGCTGGTGGCTGAGAAAATTTTGTTAGATGAGAAAATGTAGTTTCATGTGACAGCTTCTGGACTGTTCTTTTTCCTCTGTGTTTACAAAACAATTTGTGCAAGTGTGCTGAACCAACTTCCCCCTAACAATGTGTTATCAGACAGAGAAAAACAAGAGAGAATCAATAGGACCTGTGGTCATGTATAATTTGCAGGGCCAGCACCTGGCTGCCAACAAATAAAGATTTTTTTTCTCCCCCTTGCAGTCGCTTCATTCAAGGATATTGGACAATTTCGTTAGTAGGTGGCTATTTTCACCAGATCCTGTAGGTGGGTCAGTAGAAATGATTGAATCCGTGTAAGCTCAGTGCCTCTCTATGTTTATTCACCAACTGCTTCTGCTCCAGAGAAACATCAAGGCTACACTGGCAGCAGAATCTATCTTTTTAATTGCATTGAGTTGAGTTTGGGAGTGAGGCTGTGTGTTTGAATGTGCATGTCAGGATGGTTGGCAGGCGGAGAGGTTGTCTTGGCCACTCTGAGAGCTCTTCTCCCTGAACCAGCTGGGACCCCCCCTGTCTTCCTCCAAACAAGCCTGTCCCTATGCAGCCCACTCGCCCACTCTGAAAGGTGCCATTCAGCCTCTCACACACACACACACACACACACGCTTACACTAACTTCAACACGCGCACACACACACACACACACACATACACTAACATCAACACGCGCACACACACGCCTACACTAACATCAACACACGCACACCCACACACACACACACACACACACAACCCTATGCTAACATCAGTATGCGCACACCACGACATCAGCACGCAAGCACACACGCTTACACCAACTGCAGCACACACACAATTACACCAACATCAGCACACACACACACATTCACACTAGTGCACACACCTGATTCCCCATGCACATCACCTGCACATTCAACAAGCCAAGGCAAACACAACGGCTCCAGTCAAATCCGCAGAGAACAAGATAACTTTGCAGCACACGATAAAGTTAACGTGTTTACATTGTGACAAATTAATGTAATTATCCAAGTCTAGCAACTCAATTACATTGTACAGATGGTTCTTAGATAATATTTGATGCATGCAGTGGGTACAACTGAAGCTGGCTGATATGACTTTGGCCACAACTAATCAATTATGTCGTTGACTAACTAGATTTGCAATATAAAAAGGCTTCAATTAAACCCTATCCTCTCTTATCAGCAACATAATTAAAACACCAGAAATTCTATGATTTGACGGTAAAATGTCAATGTTCATATGTTATAAATATCCTTTTTTTTTTTTTTTTTTTATCCAAGTTCATATTAAACGTGTCAAGACAAGATCTTTACAGATAATGGTATTTTCTTTCCTCGCCTATGCTGGTGAATATGATGGCGTTCTGCACTTTATATTTCTTCAATACTCTTAAAACATTCTTTATCCTCTAACTACTGCTACATATAGAGTGAAACATTTCAAAATAAATGCTATTCAATGTCAAAACCAATGTCTTAAAAGCTTTGTTTTATTATAAATAAGAGAAATTACTCTGATAAACTGCAGATCATAATCTTCCTCATCATCATCATCATAGGATCTTTGTTTAAACACAGATTTATCAGCCAAAATGGGTATTTATTTGGCCAAAGCATTTTTTTCCATTAATTTGTTAAGATTAAGGCTTTAGATGTCAGTTTTAAAGGATACAAATACTGTATTAGTCCATAGGCTGCAAAAGGAGAGGTTAGAGGCTAATTCTGATTATGAGAAAATAGGGTCATTTAAAAGAAGAGAAGGACAGGACACAATAAAATACACTTCTCTATTTGCCACACTAAATACCCCTTAAGGATCACCCTCCCTGTACAGGGAGGATTCAGATATTTTTCATTTAACTGCATCAGTATTATAACTTAACTTGTGTCAATATAGTCAAGCTATACCTCTTTTGAAAGCTTATTCCCACCTCTAAATGCATATTATGTTCAAATAAACATTAAATATCAACAAAAGTAAGTATTTGTAGTCAAACTGTATACATATAAAAAATATATATTGTCCTTTCTTACCTTTTCATGCTAATATTCTGGGCCAAATCACGTCTAATCCACACATGTATGCATTCATTTTGTCCGGGAGGGTCTAGAGAATAATTATATCCAGTTGTTTTTTCTTCAAAGTCATCCTTATAGTAGATATCCACTTGTAACGACACATTTGAGTTTTGAAAGTTGCCCAAACAAAAATAAAACCGCGTCTTTGCGCACTGTCTGAAGACGCCATTGTTTTTTTTACCCAGAATCACTGGGTATTTTCGTCTTCCTCTCAGTCTTCCCTTCAAAACAAGCCCTCACTCGGACTTCTCAGTGCTATGGTTTGGGGGGTACAACAAGTTGACGAAAACAAGCGCACCAAACTTCAGCCCTCCAGGCATTTACCTTTCTGTGCGTCATGACAGCATTGTCTTGACTACCATTGGCCGATTTGGATGTCAATCAAACCATCTTGTAGCCAATAATCTCAGGTTTCAGGCGATGTGTCGGACTTCAAGGTTCCTCCCACTGTTCGAGTGTTATTTGAATGCGTAAGAGAGGAAAGCGGAGCATTTTCACGGAGAACACGCGCTATAACTATATAAATAATAGCTTTTCTGTAAACATTTCAAAATCTGGAAAAAAATCCTATTTATAGCAAGAGTAATAGCCAAAAAATGATATAATTTGATTTTTGGTGTAATAATGTTGATAATTTGCATGTAAAACACTTTGGCACAATTGGCACAAAAATGGACCGCTTGTGCCGAATGTGCCCATTAGTCACAAAAAAGCCCCCAGCATCAAAATGGTTTCACCTAAAGGTCTAAAATTTCATACAGTTGTTGCCAACACCACAGACATCTGCTCTGGTGAGTTTGAA